CGAGTGTATCTGTCACGATATAACTGAACTACTCCTTATTCAACAATGACATGAGCAATTGTATCATGTTGGAATTGCTCATACAGTCTCGAATCTGAGATCGATGATATGAATCCCGAAAGATAGAACGGAAGTCAAACGAATCTTAAATAAATGCATGAAGTGCAGATGCTAGGATAACCAAACTATTTAAGCTACCAACCATAGTCGATCATTCAGCATCTCGGATCACATGATCAAGACATTTTGCGCAAGGTGCGCAAGTAGGACTAGATTATTTAAGTCCCTTTCAATATCAGGAGTGATAATGGCTTAACAAAAAGATGGATGGATATCACTGTTAACATGTTTTACAACAAGAGCTGTACATCTAAAAATAGCAGAAACTTTTTCAGCCGAAAACTTTTTACTTATTTTAAGATGATTACAGCAAGACGACGAGATTGTCCAGAATTAACCTTAAGCGATAACATTGGTCAATTTCAGTTAGTTTTTAAAATCATTATGAAGTAACAATTAAATGAATTCGTAGCGGAAAAGAAAAAAAAAATGATCTGGAAAAGTATAATACCAAAAGCGCCTTGGGATGGAGGAGTATATGGGCAACTCATTGGTTTAACAAAAAAGGAAGTTATTATGAGAACGAGAATTGATCACTCTAATAGTGGAAGCAGAAGATATTTTGAATATTCGACCGCTAACTTAAATTTAAAATTTTGACGACCGTATTGAGTTCAATTGATTTCATACTGCGGAACACACCTCTAATTATGTCTACTAATTAGGAGGATGAATTGGATGAGTTTATCCTTCATAAATTGAACTCTCAAGAAAAATTCAAGAAACTCAATTCATTCAGTATTAAAGGATATCGATATCATCTGGGGAATACGGAAAGACAAATATTTGAATTGTCTTAAAGAAAAGACCGAAGAGAACATTTTTCCTTAAGAGATGTAGTAAGATCTCCTGATGAGTCTTTGAAATCAATTAAGCAATTTCAAAGGGTTATCAAAATTATTATTATTATTATTGTTATTGTTAATGTTTTTGCTATTATTATTATCATTATTACTATTATTTTTAGTACTAGTACTACTAATATTAATTAATTTACTCGTTTATCATATGATTATATAACTATAGTTATTAGCATAACTAGAATTATTAGTACAATGATAATTATAGTAATAATTAGAACAATGAGTTACATTCATAAATTCGTTGTTATCAGCTGTGTGGCTGATCCATTATCATTTACCTATGTCAAATTTTAAATTATCAGTGATTGAACATTGACTTTCATTGTAATCTCTGATGAATTTTCCAGTGAAATTTTTTTTTACTTTATAACAATAACTTATTATTATAATTCTTTTTCATATGACATTATCATATGAATTATAAAACAATTAGAAATTATGCACTTTATTTGGATGAAAAGTATATTTGTAATTCTTTTTGTGACAAATTTTAATTTTAATAATAAATATTAAGTTTGTTTGTTTTTTTTTTTTTTTTTCGCCATTAGACTGTTAAAGCAATAGAATATCAATTTTGACATCAGCTAATGTTTGAAGTAAGTGAAAAAGTGACATAAACTATTGGTCATTATCTCATTGATCTGTGATAGCTATGTGACATAAAATTGGCTAAGATCAAAATAAGGAATTTAAAAAGTTCAGTGAATGTTTCAGAGAAGAAACAGAGTGAAAATAGAAATTGAAAAGGAAAGTTTCATCAATTTGCTTATATAATTTCATGTGAATTTGAAAGATTTATGATTAAATTTATGATATTTAAAATATTTTAAGTAACAAATTTTGTATCTCTTTGCGTATTCCATTTCAAAGTTTAAAAAATTCAAAATTTAAAAGAAAAAAATTGCTCACTTTTAAATTTACAAAAAATTCCAGGCATCTTCACAATGTCAATAACATATTAATAGCATTGGGCGCATTTGGTGACATTCTTCATCAAATCGGCCATATTCCATTTGCATACTTTATTTTTACTGGAATCACTTCCATACCCTTATGGAAATGTATTTGGATACAGTTATTACCCAATTTTGGCATGAATTTCTCAATGATTATATTACTACCTATAGGCATAGATCGAGCCATGGCCATTTTAAGACCTTTAAAGTAAGTATTTGGGCAGTACAAGTAACTTCAATCTCTCTAGCTTACTGATAGATGATTACTACCTACAGGCATAGATCGAGCCATGGCCATTTTAAGACCTTTAAAGTAAGTATTTGGGCAGTACAAGTAACTTCAATCTCTCTAGCTTACTGCTTACTGTGATAGTTGTGTTTCTCAAATGGCAATGCTAAATTATTTACTTCGTTGTTTTAAATTCGAATAATAGTTCTAAAGTTCAGAACTGCAATGGTTATTTGCAGATATCGAAAAATGAGTAAAATGCTTTATATTCTTATAATAACACTATCAGCAATACTTTATTCAGTTGCTATGCTCATATTGATTTTAATATATGATGGAAATAACGAGTAAGATTTTTGATAGGTATCTCTCAGGTTAAGTATAATATCTGACCATTAAATATTTTAAATTTTTTCTTGAAAAATTTTCTTGAAAAAAATTGAAGCAAAATATCAATTCATCTGTGGTCAAAAATTCTTGCCTGACTTTCAATAATTGCTTCATGAAAATAAGCAGAAATTTATTTCTCTGTTATGGAAAATAAGAAATGAAGAAATGAGTTTAAAATGAAAAAGTGAACTTAAAAAAATAAATGAACAGAAAACGAAAACTTCAAATTTTCATGTTCGATGTTTGAAATGAGAATTTTCCTCAATTATAGTTTGATAACTTTTAGTTTTCATTACAACGTCAAAGTAGTCTGTGCTGTTTTAACTATTTAAAGTAGTTTGTTGATTTCATTTAGAGCATTTTAATAACTCTCATTAATTGAACAATAATTATTCTTTATGGGATTTCGAGCCAAATTATAGTAATGACTGAAATAAGCGAGCATTTTAATTGATTAGTAAATAAAAGCCATGCAAATAAGTTATTATGACTATTTGAATTGATTATTACTAATGGCATTGTTCCATCTTTAATTTCAGCAACAAAGGAATATCTTAGGATGGCTCTATAGCCTAGAAACGATGACTTATAAGATAGCCAAGTAGCTGCATCGAAATATCATAACAAGTCGTTAATGACCTCTTTACTGTGGACTGACTTTACTTGGTAATCAGATTAGGTATGTGACATGGTGACAACTACAGATATTTATGTTCACAAAGAATTTTTGCTAAGGAGCGGTAATGTCGCTGAGCTGATAAAGAGCTGAATATTCCATCTTGGCCATTAAGACACCTTATTTTTTACCTTATCCTTTTAATCCTGTTCGACTTTTCACGCCACGTTAACTAAGACTTTTGTTTGGTTATCAGCTAATATTGGTGGTTATCAGCTTTTTCCTTCCATTCTTTACGTTTTGAATAAAACATATCTTTAGGATAAGTAATATCCCCAAAAGTTATGCTAAGACTTATCTTTCAGAAATTACAATAGTAATATCAAAAATCTAAATTATTTAGAAACTTGAGAGAACGAACTAAGTAAAAAAACTTAAATTACATCGAATTCTTTCTTTTCATTTTGAATAATATGTTAAAGTTACATATGAATTGATGGCTTATATTAAGTTACATTTCAATGTAAATTAGCTATTTCATCTGATTTACTTCCATATTTTATTCATTACAAAATTTAACAAAAATTTATAATTTACTTCGGAAAAAATTTAACAGAACTTTTCTGTCATAAAATTTTGAATGATTTTTTTTTTTTTAATTAAAAATTTTAAAAATATAAAACAAACTTCATTGTTGCAAGCTTAATTTTTCATTTGAACCATTTTATTGCAAGACAAGTAGATTAGCACAAATTGCAAAATGATTTTTCAACTATAATTAACTTAAGCGGTTGCGTCATATATGTTTACGTGGATAACTTTGATTAATGCTAATCGCATAAGTGGGTTAGATAGAATGAACATAGTTAGTTGACAAGTTGACAGCAATTTTATTTAGTCATCTCTGGAATAATCTCTCCTGGAAATACTTTCCTTCAATCTAATAGCTTGAAAGAATATAATTTGAGTAAGAAATCAACTTTAAGTAAGTCATGAAAATAAATATTAGACAAATTTTTAAATATGCACCATGCGCTAATGTTTTTTTATCGAAAAGATTGATCAGCCATTGATATCGTTATAATTGTTTATTAATCTATTTGAAAGATCAATATAGATAATTAAGAGTTTTTTATATTATATATTAAGAGTAAAATTAATTTCTTATATAGTAATATTTGTCAAACTATGTTCTTTAGGATTGGTAGTAATGTTAAATTATATCTGTGAATAATTTTAATTTAACAAGTGGTAATTAGTCGACAAACCACTCTTCTGCAGTAAAATAGCTTAAGAATACGTATGTTTTTGAGTACCAATTACTGTTTCTCATTTCAGCCATTAATTGTAAACGAATTAATTTGTGTATTCAAATATTTTTGAAATAATTTACAAAAAATTTCAAGAAATTCTCATTTCCCATAAATTTCTCTCATTCCTTCTACTTTTATCATAAAGCGCAAATTGCAATGAATGACATTAATTAATGACTATCTGTCAAATAAATCATAAGATATGTTGTTTACACTTCACTGATCCATTACAAAGTATTCTAACTTTATTTGATGCATAAATAGGATCCAAAATGTATTTACCCATCACTAATTCAGAGATACTTTATGGATGCCCAATATTTTCTTATAAATCTCCCATTTATCTGCATATATAGCTTAAATAGCTGAATTCAAAGCATTTTTCACACTATTTTATAAGTTATCCATAAATTTGATTTAGGTTGTGGATGATTAGAAATATGTGTAGTGTTGCTATTTATAGACAAGAATTAAATTTAAACTCTTTTAGTTTATGGTCAGTTAAGTGCTAAAATGGCTGTTTTGATACCAATCATACCATGTGTATCCTTTCTTTTATTTTGTTCCTTAATTGGATTCGTTGGCAATACTGCGCTCATTATAGCTACTATTCAGAACAAGTACGTTATTGATCAATTAATTGATTGATTGATTTTTTGCGATCATTGAATATTCAACATTAATAGCTTTATCATTGGTGATTGTACCTTTCCTCAATATTTAAATATAATTTTTTGAAGAGGGAATGAGACGCATAAAACGGTTGTGCCATTAATTTATGAGATTTTAAGATCAAAATTAACAATCAAAAGAATCAGAGAATATTTTAAAGGAAAAACGAAAACAGAGAAAATATTGATTGAAAAGTAAAATCCCATCATTGTACGTATATAATTTCATATAAATTTGAAAGATTTTACAATCTTTTGCACAGCATATTCCAATTTCAAGTCCAAAATTTTCAAAAGCTTCAAATTCTTATAATTTGTAAAAATTCTTTCAGGAACCTGCACAATGCCAATAATATATTAATAGCATTGAGCGCATTTGGTGATATTCTTCATCAAATCGGCCATATTCCATTTGCATATTTTATTTTTACTGGAATTACTTTTACACCATTATGGACATGTATTTGGATACAATTATTACCGAATTTTGGTCTAAATTTTGCAATGGTTATATTACTTTTAACTGGCATAGATCGATCCATCGCTATTTTAAAACCTTTAAGGTATTTGAACAGAATAAGTAATTTTAATTAAATTTGATAATGGCAAAGCTAAATTATTTGTTGTCTTCTTCCGAACTCCAATATATTTTCTAAATAACAAGTAATGGTCACTTATAGATATCGAACAATGAGAAGGAGAATTTCAATTCCATTAATGACCATACCAGCGATACTTTATTCAATTGTTATACTTATATTGACTTGTATATATGCCATAAATAACGAGTAAGTTACATTTTCAGATTTTTCTCGAATTAAATGTCTGATCTGTGATTATCAGAGAAGTTTTATCAGTTGATGCATATGTAAGTGGAAATTGATATTTGGCTGAGATCTTTTTCTTGCATTTTTTTGAGGAAAATAAACAAAAATTTGTTCAACGACTGTTATGTGAAATAAAAAAAGAAAGAGTTGAAAAAACTTTATTATTAAGAAGGAAAAAGGGTAAAAGTAACAAAATTTCTAAATTAAAAGAAAAAGAAGTAAAAAAAAGAATATTTATTGAAAATATATTGAAATTTGATTTTGTTAATTGTCATTGGGCCTTTCTATAGTGACAAAGTAATCTGTGTTTTGGTAGCAATATACAGTGGTCAGTTCGATTGGATTTGGAGCGTTTTGACAGTTCTTCTTAATTTGGCAACAATTACTCTTTATACAGCACTTAGTCAAATTATAGTAAAGGCTCGAATATGTGAGTTATTTAAATAATTAGCAAAAGACATGTAAACAAAGTATCAACCTGGATGTTCTATGTCACCGAAAATATTTTTTGTTTTGTTTACTATTCAACTGCCATGGCAGAGTCTAATTAATTAACAATAACTGAAGTAGATGCTGTAGTACTACCTCACATTTAATTTCAGCAACTAGAAATTTCGAATTGTTACAAACATTAAAGATAGCAGTGGCATTTGTTGGAATGGGACATTTAGCATCAACGACCATTTATATGGTGACAAAGTTCTTGAATATTTCCGATGTGGCAAAGTTTTATATAGGATGCTATGCGGGAGTATTTATTAATATAAGCGTTTCATTCAATTGGTTATTTTACTACTGGAGAAGGTAAAAATTAACTGAAATTTCTTGTGAAAAAATATGTTGAAATGTTAACTTCAAATATTTACGTTTTATGTTGGAAGCATACCTCAGTGACTGACAATATTGATAGATTGGATCTATTGCTGTGATCATAAAAAATATTGCAGTGAAGAATATCGGAACTCATTTAGAAGACAATTCAAGAAGCTTCCATGTCTAAAGAATACCGTAAATTTGCAAACGAAACATAAAATGCAGCAAGTAACAACAGTTTACCGATTAGAACTTTCAAGACGTTTGTCGCATTAATCTGGCTCATTTGGTCAAATTTTCAAACAATATCCCATGGAGACGATTAAGTGGGAATATTGGCAATAATTGCTATGTCCGTTCGATAAATTAATGAGATCATCGTGCAGCATTCTATATCGCTTCTTGAAGATTAATCGATGTAGGAAAAGTTTTGAAAGTTTTGGATATTTTTGTTGTTATAATTTCGCTAACTTTATTGTTATACAATAGAAAAAATAAATAAATAAATAAAATGAGTATTACTACACCAACAGTCCATCAAATATTCGTCAAATTGTCACACTTTCTCTCAACTATCGCTTCCCTTTCGCTTCAGCAGTGTTACTGTTACTGGTGTAAAACAAATTTAGAATTTCTTTCTTACTGCCCTGTTTCCTTGTGAAACAAAGTAGCTTCCTTTCTTGATGGTTCAGATCGTTGACTTCTTTGTCCTCGATACTGGTAGAATCTCGAATTTGCACTGGTTCCGTTCTGTGTACGTGTACTGTGGGAGTCTTCGTGAAACATTTTATTATTCAAACCTCAAACTCAAACTTGAGTAATTAAACCTTAGATTAAAATTAAATATTATGCAACATTACAATAATAAATTGATACATAACACAAAAATGCAACTTAATTATAAAACATTTAAAGATACAAGCAAGCTAGACATCTCGCAACCGAGCCATACCTGTCGCGAATTATAATTTCGCGAAAACTTCTAACCAATTTCATAGTATTATAAATCATCTCTCCTTTTTAAATTGTAAACAATCCTACGGTATTCACATATGTAATTTTAATCTCCTTTTTGTAAACACCTCAATTCTTCATGCATGTAATTTTTTCTGTAAAATTGAAATTAGCTTTCATTTTAATCTCTTTGTTGTAAACACTTCCAATTCTTCACACATTTGATTTTTATCTTAGACACGCCCAATCCTCACTCATATAAATTCAATTCTAATAGACAAAAAGGATGCATTGTCATTATTGTCGACTACTTTCTGTTAACCAATATCAATTCCTCCGATCTTCCTTATTATAAGTTTCTTCTCTCCTTTTACTGCCCTGTTTATTAATACTACGTTTGCGAAAAATAAAGGCTTATTAATCCTTCTACTGTATTGCAAACAATTCGAATATCAATCAACAAACCCTTCACGACAACAAAATTTATTGGTGCCACGAGCCGGGAACATGTCAAGCCACATTATTGCGAGCTTTCAACCGGCAAAGGAAAGTTTAGTCAGTTTTCTTAAAGAAGTAAATCAACTGGAGATCAAATCTCCAAAACCAAGTATGACAATAGAAGAAAAAGAAGATTTTTATTTAATAAGAAAAAGAGTGTTAGAAGATAAACTTCGAAGAAACCAGTTATGCGTAACTACACTTGAATCTATCAACGATATCAACGATGGTTCACATATACTCAACAAATCGTCACGATGAAAAGAAGAGAAGAAGAGGAAGAAAAATACAAAACAGTAACAGAAGGTGACCAAGGAATATTTCAATTATTACACGAAGGAAAGGAAGTGGTAATAACACTAACAGTGCACAAGGATGAAGTCGACCAGAACTTAAAACAACTCTCAAAGGAGTTGACGAACAAACAAACAAAAGAAGAGGCAAAATTTACTCCTTCTTCAAATATTAATGTAAATCTTCCTCATTTATCGCTCCCTACTTTCGATGAATACCCTAGACAATGGCGACAATTTTGGAGCAGTTTTAACGCAGCAGTCCACACACAAGCGATTCCAGAAATACAAAAATTGAATTACTTGTACTCATGTCTTAAAGGAAAGGCTCTACAAGCAATATCTGGATATGATATAGCTCCAGAGAATTATGAAGTTATCACAAGACTGCTCAATGAGAAATATGGCGATCACTCAATAGTAACAACATTACTATACAACGAACTCCAATCAATTAAACGAAATGAAAGAGAATGAATTGGAACAATTGAAAATATAGAACGAGTACTACGCAGTTAGAAGCTCTAGGAGAAAGCCTCGAACACTCAAATATCGAAATTTTGATCGAGAAAAAGTTGCCATTATGGATATTGAATAAAATATATAAACATAAGAAGAAGGACATGCCTTGGTTAATTCTCAAACTAAGAAACTTTTTAACAAGTTTAGTTAATTTGAATGAACAGATTAGAAACTGTCAACATTCACTCACTCAAATCAATATTAAATCTACAACTACCAAACCGGAACAAAAACAACGATACAACCCCGGCTCGTGGCACCAATAAATTTTTTTGTCGTGAAGGGTTTGTTGGTTGATATTCGAATTGTTTGCAATACAGTAGAAGGATTAATAAGCCTTTATTTTTCGCAAACGTAGTATTAATAAACAGGGCAGTAAAAGGAGAGAAGAAACTTATAATAATGAAGATCGGAGGAATTGATATTGGTTAACAGAAAGTAGTCGACAATAATGACAATGCATCCTTTTTGTTTATTAGAATTGAATTTATATGAGTGAGAATTGGGCGTGTCTAAGATAAAAATCACATGTGTGAAGAATTGGAAGTGTTTATAACGAAGAGATTAAAATGAAAGCTAATTTCAATTTTACATGAAAATTATATGTGTGAAGAATTGGAAGTGTTTACAATGAAGAGATTAAAATGAAAGCTAATTTCAATTTTACAGAAAAAATTATATGCATAAAGAATTGGAGGTGTTTACAAAAAGGAGATTAAAATTACATGTATGAATACCGTAGGATTGTTTACAATTTAAAAAGGAGAGATGATTTATGATACTATGAAATTGGTTAGAAGTTTTCGCGATTATATAGTGGGAGCTGGTTTATAACGTTTGTTACAATGGTGACTGTCAAAGTGGAACACTGCAATGGGAAGTTATTGAAACGATGAATTTACAAGCTGAAATGTTAACAGTAAAATATAAGTTTAAATGTTAGAACAATAAAATTGAAAGCAATTTACAACATTTCAAGCAATACACAAAGTTTATGTTTTTCCTCTGAGATATGAAATTGAAACAGTTTGACATATATTTAAGGAATATTCGAGAAACATGGATTCAATATAGAACTATTCCAACACATTATTAAATTATTTTGATTTTTTCGGCAATTACATCAAAAGTTTTTTGTGCCATAAAACGGTAATTCCGCATTTTAAAAAGGAGAGAAAAGGGATGAATGGTACAATTTTGCATTTCTTTTCCATCATAAACAATTTCACTTCTAAAAAAGTCAATAAATAAATTTAGTTTATAATATTTTGTTGTCGCTAAAATTAAGAAAGGAATTAGCTGAGCTATTATAACATTCAGATCAGTTTAAAACCGTGTTTGATAAATGATAGCTTCTTAATTTCTAAGCTAAATGATAACTTTGAAATTGCAAGATTGTTTCAAAAGTAATAAGAATTATGGCAAAAGGCTTCAAAAATATATATCTCAAATTTGGTCGAAAAAGTCCCGAAATTTTTCAAATTTATTTATATTAATTATACTTATAGAAAAACAAGAATGAAAATTATGGACACAATTAGAGGAAATGAAATTATGCACCGAATTAAAAGAAATAAAATTGTATAAGAAAAATCTGTTATGGAATGCTAATGTATTATTGATATCCAAGATGCTATGAATCGGAAAACATGGAGGTTATTAAAATTAAATCGCATATAATATTTTAAAAATATTTTCAAAAAAATAAGATATTATATTTAAAATTATAAATAACACTTTAAAAAGGACAAATTCTTCTCTTAGACGGATTTGTTCTTCTTTTATTCAAAAAATAGTTATTTCAATTTTAATCTTTTATCATCATTCCACAATAATAGGAAAGAGTTGAACAAAGTGAGTATTATACTAACAATCCAA